GCCACATGCGCCGGGGAAGGCCTCGGCCAGTGGCAGCGAAAGGACACAGCTGGTTGCCAGCATGGGCGAGGAGCGTGGGGTGCCGCCGGGTCTGTTCTCCGGGACGGGGGGATTGCTCTGGAACCGGGCAGATACGAATGCTAATGCTGGAATAAATCAAACAGCTAGAAGGAATATGTGAATAACAGACGGGTTGCGCTCCGCTCGTTGCGGGGAGATCACAGAACAGCTGGGTGAGACAAGAAGATGTCGGCACATACGGGCCTGGCCTTTGTAGTTGCCCAAGGTCAGCGGCTGCTCCTGATAAGGTGTACGAGGCAGGAGCGGAAAGCGGCCGGGCAGAGAAGAAACTCAGGAAAACCCCATCCCAGTCCTCCCCCTGCGCCCGTCTGACGCTGAGACCTGAAGGCTGGGCTCTGATGTACAAGAGTGGGGTGTTAGGTGGTTTTTAGGGAAGGAAGGAAACAGCCGATTAGACATACTGAAAGAAACGGTACAGCGGTGCTGAAGGGATGGGCAGGGCTCCCAGCAGAGCAGCAAGGAGCATGTCTAGTAACACCGCTTAGCTCTATGACAGGTAGGGCTGAGCTGGTCCAGGAGGAAGAATAAATCCCCTGGATCGTTTTACTTGCCCTCCACTCGCTCCATATTTGTCGGCATAGCAGAGATGTGGAAAAGGGTTAGATTACCAAAAAAAGGGAGGGGGGGATTGTTAAACAGTACATGCTGCTGAGCTCTTTTGAGAATCTGGCTGCTAACAGTGGTACTGAACTTGCACTGTTTTGAGGATCTAGCCTCCTGATCGCGTGGTGACTATTCATGCTGAATATTCCCTTAGAGTGGCAAAGTTTTTAAAGCAGAGGAAAAAGAAGTACCAGCATTTACCATTAAATTCACAGCTGGTTTAATAGAATGAAACTTTGAAGAAATCTACTGATTTGTTTAAAGTTTTCAGTATGAGCTGTTGAAATGGTGCTTAAGTGTGCTAGTGCTTTGAAGGGCAGAAACATACTAGATTCCGCTGTTTGCCATGGGAAAAGAAAAGAAGGTGAAGTTCAAGTAACGGCAAATACCATGGGTGCAAGATTACTCTTGTGCTGTGCTGATAACTCGTCTGTCTTAATCTGATTCTGTTTGCAACAAACCACTGTGATAAATCTTACTTCACAGAACTGCCCATCACTACCTCTGCAAATCTTTCCTAGAGAACTGCTTTGCACTGTGAAAATTAATTACTGCCTGCAATTGCATTGTGCAAATTCCTTGTTTGTTCAGTCCATTAAGGCATGCTTTCTTGTAAAATGTCACAGCACACTGTTCCCTCTCACCAACAAAAATACAGCTGTCGCACTGTCAAATAACTTTTTTCTCCCACTATCAAAAGAAGAAAAACAAAATAAAGGATCAGTTTCAGACCGAGAAAAGTACCCCAGGAAGTAGGCTGGAGGCAATTAATTACTTGTCAGCATCTCCCTCAGATCTGCATAAAGTAGAAAAAGTGCCTGTTTAGCTTTGTTCTGCTCTTTGTGTTGCACTACTCTACTCCTTTCCCAACAGTGTCCGTCAGCCTGGCATCTGAATGCCTGCTAGATGTTAGTACATCAGGCCTGCTCAGTCAGCTTCTCCACTGGGATAATTCAGCATGACCCATCTCAAGCTGATGTGTTTCTTCTGATTTGTATCGTATTAGATTCATTGGTTTTTACCTTAGTCTCGGGGAGAGAGGAGTATTAGTGTGCGTTTCTCTCTGTGTGCAAGCTGACGATGGCTGTTAGCGTATGGATGTGCTTTTCATCCAGTCAGTCACACATGGGGGCAGATACGAAAACCCAGAGGCACACCCAGACAGAAGCATATAATCCTTAAGCACAGAATTAGCCACGTGTGCACGTACATAGGCTTATGTGCAACAATAGGTGCAGGGATATGAAAACTGCATCTTGCGTCTGACCATGTATGGACACAATCTGAATGCCCTGACAGTCATTTCTAGCAAGACTGCTGTCTTGCCCTTCCTTTCTCAGCTACACGTGCACAGAGCTACAAAATCACACGGACAGGGAAACAGTCTGCTCTGGGGGATGCTCCTGTAGGTGCTGACGAACTGCGTACAGGAGCAGACCCATCAGCCACGGCCCCATCGCTTCAGAAAAGACGGAGGCTTGCCAGCATTTTGTTGCTGGCAGCGTGCTTATGTCACATGGCCTTTGACAGGTCACTGCTCCCCGGAGAGCAGATACATAATGCAGGAACGCGCAGTCGCTGGAGGGCTCATGTGGTTCTCATCAGCATCCCAACCCTCAGCGGGTGGGACTGCTCTCCCACACATAGCTTTCCAGTGTGTCAGCAGCCCTGCATGAAGCCGTAGGCTGGCTCTGCGCATCTTCCTCGGCTGGCCTGTGTTGGTGGAGTTTATAGCAGGTCAGATGTTGTCCCTTCTTGGGTCACATAGTGACAGAGGCACTTGCTTTCTTGCGGGATTTACTTTCCCCCAAGAGCGTCCTGTAAGTTTCCACTTTGATTTTCTGGCCAGCTGTTCCCTCTCTGCCCTGTTAGGATGACCTGAGTGTGCTATCCACCCCACTCCCACGTCTGCCTCCCAGCCTGGCGAGGAGGACGTTGAACTTTAGCTGTCTGAGCCACAGTCTGTCCAGCGAATGGGGCTCTGAACATTGAAGTTTGTAGTCCACACTGCCTGTAGTAACTCTGTGGTGCTTTGTCGTGCTGGTCTGTTAATTGTACTGAATGCTGTCCAGGCAAAAGATTTTAGCAAATGCACCTGTTTTTTTAATTAAATTGTTCATGCACCTTATGGACCTTTTTGCTACACTCTCATCATTTATTCTGCTCTTCTAGATAAGGTGCAGCTAGGATTTTTGTAACTGAGGTTCCCTTTAAAGTGATTGGAGAAAGACAGGTTCACTCAGAGAGAACCTGAGATTTTTTAATGGACTGTATCACCTGCTAGACCTCTGCATGGATAATGAGGGGAGGTCATAACGTGAGTGATATGCTAACATCATCTGACACCTGCATTCAGGTTGGGCTGAACATGGGCATGTTTTTTCACAATGCTGTGGATCCCTACTAGCAACTACAAGAGATGCACTGGCTTTGCAAGTGCTCAGCCTAGGAAGGATGGTACTGGGGCATTGGTGCACTGAGACTTGCCAAACTTTGGACGCCTCCAGCAACACTTGCAGGCTGTTATGTGCTCAATAAGAAGGCAGCTTCACATCTGTCCCATGCTGGTGAGGTTCTGCGCTGTGGGGATTTAACACCTGAAAAACTGGGGTGGCTGAGCAGGCTGTGGCTCTCCACACTGAGAAGTGAAGGCATTTCAACCCTGACACCTTGCTGCATATCTGCCAGTTTAACTGGGACTCTAAATCAGTTTCTTGCATATCAGTGGGCAACAAGTTGGAGGAAACAGGTGGACACCAGAGAGCAGTGACTGCTGGTCTGTGCACGCAGGGGTAAGCGAGCACATTGGTGCACGTGAACTCTGGGGGAGCACGTTTGCAGATACACTTCCCAAAGGAGAATTGCGTTCAGGTTCCCCATAGTCTCACCTCAATGATATAGTCTTTTCCGTCTTTGCTGTGGACAGCTTTGACAGCGCAGATGTCAAGACCTCCAAACATTTCCGCGCAGGCGTCTGCCCAGAGTCTGTACCTGGAGAAACCACAAAAGCATGGCCTAAGGTTAGCTCTCATTGGGTAGACCACCAAACCACAGCCACCTGTCCTGCTGCCCGTAGGAGCACAAATTGACTGGGGAGCCCTTTCTACCACAGGGCATACTTCATATGCTTTGCTGGGTCATTGCCTCCCTCTCTCGCACAGGAGACGAAGCAAAAAAAAAAATCATGCTTACAGTTTCCCTTCATTTCGGATGTTTCAATCCTGTCTTCAAAGCCACCTTAAAATGTTTCTTTCCCTGGTTGATATTTACAGCAGATCTCCAGTTGGCTGTCATTTAGCCAAGCTGTAAATATTTAGCTCATTTAATCTCCCAGTAGTGTTGGCCCCTTAGCGTTTGTATTGGCTTTGCCTGAAAGCCCTCCATTATGCAGGCAGCTTTCTCCTGATAAGATGTCCTGCACATTGGGGCTGGAATCGGATCAGAAAGTGAGTGCAGAATTTAGCAAGGAGTAGCTATCCCCACCCTGATCTGTAACCCACCGGCTCCTGCTTTTTACAATTTACACTCTCAATGTCATTCTTTTGCAGTCTCCTGCCTCCCTTCTGTCCCCTGGGCACTGCTCCTCGCCAGGTGGTCCCGTCACGTGCACCAGGCACTGTTTTGTGAGAGGGAGAGCTACAGGCTTCGGCCCTTTTCTCTAGCTGTCCCAGGATGGGAACGTGAGCCGGTGCCCCTGTAGCTGTCCTGGTGTTAGAGGAGGAGAGAGGATGACAAGAGGCATATTATGGGGGGACCGCATCCCCCCCACTGTGGAAATGAGGGAATGAGGCAGCCTGGTTTTGTTTCCTGTGCAGCTGTGCCGCAGTCCCGACCATTTCAATAAAATAACAAGCTCAGAACAGCAGATCTGTAAGCAGGGCTATGACAAGATGCGGGAAGGGGAGGAAAGGCCACAGTCTCATGAAAACACTGACATTTTGCAGACTCTGCAGGGACTGGGAAAAGAGCTGCTCTGGCCAAAGAACAAGTGTATGTCCTTGAAGCCAGCCAGAGTCCCCATAGCTTGACAATATAATGGTCAACTTGTGCGAACACAGCGTCTGCAGGAGGAAGCAAGAATATGGTTTATATGCTCTCACCCCCGATGAGGAGACCAAGCACGTTCACCCCAGGCCCCCTGAGGAAGAGAGCGCCTGAGGACGGGTCAGTAGCATAAGGAGGAGGACAACTATGGACCCCGTGAGCCAGGCAGGAGGCACTGCCAGCCCCCCTCGTGCACTGCTGTGGTCTCACACCCAGGAGCACCATCATGGGAGCCACCTCTCTACCTGAGGGACATCTCTAGGTGTCTGGCTTCAGCAGCTGGGCTCAGGGAATCGTTACCCACACCAACACCCCTGCTAGCTACATGTTTTCAATGCTGGTGGCCCGAGGTGAGCACTGGTAAGTGTCAGGGCTGTTGGGGTGAGATGTGTGTGCATCAGAGGTAGTGTTTGCAGGGGTTTTACTGCCATTTTGCCTACTATTACCTGGACATGTCAATCCTTTGGGCTAACATTCAGTATAGTAGGTTCTTCAGGTTGTTCCTACTCAGCAGAACATTTCAGCACATTGCTGCCTTGTTGCATGCACTGATGACTCACAGATGTCATTGGGATTTGTTGCATTCATGGCTGGATAAGGCTAGAGTGGTGACTTGTGGTACTACCTCTATAAAATGAACCTTCAAAATGTGGTGTGGTAGCTTGGCAGGAATCTGGGCTTTAGTCCTGCAACACTGCAATGAGGGAATGTCTGCCCTTCGTCTCTCTAGCTTCACCTGTGTTGTAAACAACCAGGATGCATAATAATGTCCAGTTCCCACAGTCCTATTAGGGTCTTACAGAGTCACCTTCAGCATCTGGTTTAGGGCTTAGCTTTGCTTCCCTCTTTCACAGAACTAAAGATGCAGAAGGACCTAAGATGATAACCTGCACAACTCTTGTGCACCAAAGAAGAGACATTTCGCTAATCTGGTCTGAAAGAGGTCAGAGATTCCCCATCTCCTCCAGGCTATCTATTTCTGCACCATGCTATGCTTACTGTTATTTCCTGTGTCCAAAGCAATCTTTTCTGCTATAATGTAAGCCCATTATTTCTTACAGTATTGTGCTAGTAAAATAAAGAGTGGCTAATGCCCTATGAGCAGCCTTTTACATAGTTGAAGACCTTGTGCCCTGTAAGTTTTTGCATCTTTAAGATGGAGCAGTGTTCAGCTTGTGGACAACTTCTTCCAGCTGAAGGAAAGCAAACCTCTGCACTGCAGGCATATGTTCATTATGCATGAGTCCACACCTCTACGAGAAAAATATGAGTGGTCTGCTAACTGGAAAAGGTGGAAAGTCACGTAAGAAATTGTGAAATTCTTTTCTCATAGGCTGATAATACTTTGTCCTCTGGGCACTCCCTTTATTGTCCCTGGGGCTCTCTCCAGCTCATTACTATCTTTATTCAAATGTGATGCCCAGACCTGGACAGAGTCAGAACTAAACATGATCCTGACAAATTGGAGGTATAATCTGAAAAAATGTTGGATTCAGTAGGAATGAGTGCCTGCATATAATCTATGGATTCTATAAATCTACAAATAATGTACTTAAAGAAATAGTATGGAGAGCAAGTGACTTCATAGCAGTTCTGCAGAACAGAGTTTGGCAGTTACAGCAAAGCATAAGTTACCATGAGTCAACAATGTCATGCAGTGGCAATATTAGCAAATATCACAGTGCTTTGAATATATGGACGTACCATCTGCAAATTTTAGTCTGTAAGATGCATGAGGCAATTCCTTCTGCTCTGTTCAGCAGTGAGAAGACCTTAGCTAAAACACTCTGTCTGCTTTTGGGAGACTAATGCAAAAAAGCACTTTCAGCACTTCAGCTGACAGATTTTTCCCTCTGTTGAGCAGGAGAAAAACACTTTTCTGTGTCTGCCTCTCATTAGTAATGTACTTAGAATAACTTCTCGTTACTTCTTGTTTTGTGCTATGACCTTTCTGATTTTATCCCTACATGTTTGTGCTCGTGTGCTTGACCTTAGTATATGGGTCTTGCTTCCTGTGGTTACATTCACCAAAGATCTAATGATTTAGCAGTGTTGGTCCCTAGCTGTACTTCCAGTCTGTTCTCCAAAATAGGACAGTTTGCCTTTGTGCCCTGAGTATTTTTTTAAGGAAACACTTGGTCTTTTAAACTCCTTTATCCAACCTCCCGGGAGACCTCACTTACCAGTTCTCTCAGTTAACCCACGTCTGAAATACAATTCCTCCCTTCTAATCCAAGAATAGCTAATACTGTCTTGAAACCCTCTTCCTTACCTCTCTGTCATTGCAATCTGTTCTAGCATCGCAGAACCCGTGTTTGCCTTCCAGTTTCCAGAGATGGACGTCCTCCTAGGAAAACAAACCACAAACATAACCTCAACATGAAAATACACTCCTGCCCCATCCTCTCTCATACTGTAGTCCTCATTCTTGGCTCAGTGCTTGTACAGGAGGGGATGAGGTGAGGTTCTTCCTCATAGAAGCCTTTCCAAATCCTGCCTCAACAACACTCCATACAGAATATGTTGTTCAGATTCAGGAAAGACTGAACGAGGAGTTAGACAGGGAAGACTCCAAGGAATCTTGAGCACTCATCAAGCTCTGTGAATACTTTCTTTCTTTATACATCAGGCCCAGGAGAGCTGAAATATCTGTAGAAGATCTCTGGGATAATCACTCTTGTGTCCTGCAATGGGTAGCATCCTCCATCCGTGCAAGAGCAACTCTCCAGGTGAACATCTGAGCAGCTTCACAAATGTCAGCTGTGACGTTCTGGATCCCCCTAACTTTGACTTCAATTGTATTGGTGTCGTAGAAAATATGATTATACCCTCTTTTCACTGACTTTTCATTGACCTGTGTGGCTCACTTGTCTGGACTTGGAGAATTTATAATTGCAAGATGGTTGGAGTCTTGTTAGCTGCAACTGATGGTTAATTTTCAGAAAAGGTACTGTTGCTGGCAAATCCTGGTTTTCATCATCCTCTATCAAGGGGTGAAAAAATTTCCTTTTCTTGGCCTTAGGTACAGGGCAGACCTTGGACAGCCTGCTGCAACAACACTGCGCAGATAACCCTGGCATAGCATACAAGCTAGGACAAGTTAGGACAGGATACATCCAGGGAGCATCTCTGTGCTGAAGGAGATTCAGGTAAATATTTAGGAGGACAGTATGAAGTGTGATCCAGCACTTCAATCTGAGGTTGTTGGAACCCTCCCTGATGGTTCTCTCACCTTTTCAACATGATGTGGAAAAGAGACTCTGAACTTGCAAAACTATGTGCAGCAGTGGTAATACTGATGTCCTGCTAGACTGTAAACCTGGAACATTATAGTTGACTACCTAAGGTTCCCTTTTACTCTGGTGAGGAGTAGCCTGGTGTCCTTCTTCCATTTCTCTTCTAAAGTGGTATGTATAGTTGCTGTGAAATTTTAAAGGTCTTTGTAACCCATATGTAAAGGAGTGGGAGGGGGGCGAAAGGAGCGTGATTACTGTGTTGAATAACCGTGTTTCCCTGTAGTTGACTGTTGTCCCTTGTTTCCTTCACCCAACATCCATCTTCCTGCCCTACTTTCTAAGCAAGGTTATGCATTCCTCCTCAAGCTTTGGTTGTTATGAGCCCTTTGATGGCCGGTAAGGTCAATGTTCAACCCTCAGCCTCTCTTTTTCTTTTCACATGGGATTCTTTGGATTACGTTTTTCAGTTCTGCAATGGGAAGAACC